CCTCACCCCCCACCCCCCAAATCCCCCCCACAGTGTATAACAGAACGAGCGTAAAAGACTGACCTTCAGCCTACACGTCGTGACTCAATCTCTACACAAAAGATAGTCTGTGGAACACTTCCTGTGTGAGCATTCTTGTGTTTGTGGGCAAGATCAATGGTCAGACGCGGGAAATAACTTTCCTTTGGTGAGTTTCCCCTCTTAACCGCACTTTTCACTTTGATTCTGCATTATTTTGTCCCTTTTGTTTTTTGTTGCCCCTGTGTGTTCTCGACGTTCAGTCCAGCATACAACAAATAAGAATCTTTTTTTGGACACTGTCTCCATGCTCCAGTTTGCGTATTCCTTCCTCCGTTGCTTGTAACTGTCACAAATCATTTTTCCTCTGATGCGTTTGGAGAGCGGAGTCAATTTGCCAAGCCAGAGCTCACCACATTGGCTTTTCTCATCTTGGATTGATCAGTTTACCAACCACTTTATAGGATAGCAATGATCTGAAAAATAATGTTTTAATCGTTGGGTTTGAGGTCACAGAATCACATCAACATAAAATTGGATGGTCAGTGCGTATTGTGAATCCGCAAATGTGTTTTTTGTCTTTTCTGACCTTTGTTGAAAGGGTTCTGATTTTAAATACTGTCTGTTTGCTCGATTCCCATGACTGTGACATTTTCAGATATTCACAGTGTCCCTCCGAGCATAAATTTGAATTATCTACCAACCCGGCAGCATCTGCTTTTTTGTTGTTGTTGTTGTTTTTTTCACAGGGAACCCTGGACCTCAGCACTGGAGCATTCTAATCACCTCGAAATTTCACACTCAACCACACCCACTGAATCACAAATTAATAATTAGCGATTTAACTAGAAGTACACCAAGTACTTCATTACTGTCATTATTTTCAGGCATGTCTTATTTCACGTGTGGTGGCTTTTTAACCAATTCGATGTTTCAGGTGCTCATCAAGGTGGTCACGCTCATTTTAATTACAAGTCATGAAATTAACCATGTTTGATATGATCACTTAGAGAAATGAGTGACTGATTATTATGTCACGAAGACTTGGTCTTAGTTTCCTCTGATGCTGTGTACGTGGCGGCAATATACGTTGAACTATTTGAAATGTAGGCGCTTCAAATTAAACAAATGTAATGGACTCCTTCACAATACAGGCTTTGGGCTTTGACTTGATCTTGTTGTGTTCTGATTCTTTTTTTTTTTTAATGTGTTCTGTTGAACGTTGTCCGACACTGCTAGATGACAGCTGTCTGCAGCAGAGCCAAAACTTTCCCAAGGATGCCAGGGATAATATTTTTTGTTTACACGGATTCTGTTTGTCCTCTCTAGACCGAGCTGAGTGAACAAAGCAGATCCGAATATTTTTCCAGAGAGGGAGAAATCCAAGAGTCTTTCAACTGCGCCACAAAAATAAAGAAGACCGTGCTTCAAAAGATGTAAGTATGATCTAATTCAGAACTTTCCGACCTCTCCAGTCAGACAGGATGCTCGAGTATCTGCTTGTCTTGTCCAGAGCCCAAAAATGTAATGTCCAGCAAGAGCACCGGGTTCCCATTGTGGGGGAGCAGCAAATTGAGCAAAGAACCAGCATTGAAGACCAAAGCGGCAAATGTGATGGTCCCCACTCATACTCGAGCTCATTCCTAAGTGTCTCTAGTGCTGGAAGCGCCGCCCCTCAGAACATCGGGCAACAGGCACCATGCTCCAATGCTGTGACTCAAAACCAAGGCATGACCTATCAGTGGAAAACTGCCGGTTGTTCTCCAGACAACAGGAAGCCCAACATGGCCTCGGTGGGTTTGTGCCCGCATGAAATCAGTCCAGGAACCAGACGGAGCAAGAGGGGTAAACCCAGCGATTCAGAAGACCCTCGCCCACTCAAGGCCAAGAGGACAGGCCTCCGCAGTCCTCCAGCCACAATGCAAACTGACCCCAGTGCACGCTTCACGCAAACATCCGAACACGACCCTCTTCCTCTGCCACCCCATCCTCTAGACGAAACCAAGGCAGAGTCCAAGGCTTTCCCAGTCTCCGAGTACAAGAAAACCACAGTGGAAGTAGAGCTGCTTACTCCAGGGAAACGGGACCGTAGGCTCCCCCTCACAAGCAATAACACAGCACAGACGAACCAAAACAGGCCGGCCGCAAGTCGGAGGGGCCTATCTGTCAAGCTTGCATCCTCGGGCTCCTCTATTAGTTCCAGATCCACAGGCGGGGAGGAGGGAAGTGAAAATGTGCCCAGAACCTCGAGATTACGGCGACTGAAGAGATCCTGAGGGGAACAGAGGAGCTACAGTAAAAATGCCTGACGCCATCCAGATCGAAACAAAATTGTGTCAAGCCCCGTCATCCGCCACCAGCCTCCCTCCCACCCTCGCATTTGTACACACACACACACACACACACACACACACACACACACACACACGGCCTTTTACTACAATTACTATTCTTTTCACACAAAGCCGCACATGCGGATCCAGTACAGAGCACATAATTGATACATGAGCGTTTTGAGTTATGTTTTGTCAAATACTTGAAACAGACTTCGCCTCCACCCATAAGTAGTGGTGGTCAGGAGAGGCTTGCAAATGAAAGTCAAAAACCCTTAATTGGAGTTTAGACTCGGGTTTTGTGTTAAAGATTGGGGATTTCAGACAGCCAGGAGCCATGCAGTACGTCATGGCTTTTAGCCTGAAGTACTGTGGCTCCCATGTGTCTGTAAATTGTCCACTTTCCCTGCTCGAGCTCTGCTTTGATTGATTGCTGTTTCCAGATTTATTTCATCTGTTTGTTTTTTCTTCTTTTTTCATTTGATTTTATTTTTTAATTCTTAGAGCATTTTCATTCATACATGATTCCCATTCATACTTATTCCTGTACTTAAGATTCCAAAGACATGAAATAAACTATCGCAAACAACGTGCCCAGACCTTTCACTATTACTGCATTATATCTTTTTTTTTAAATTTTTTTATTTGGGTGCCCATCAATTGAAAAATTAGCTGTGGTACCAAAGCGTTTGGCACTCAAGCTCCATCAAGAGATCAAGATCCACAGTCCGTGCCAGCTGAGCATCTGTCAACAGCCACTCGTCTCCAAAGAGTTCGACGTAACGACAGTCCAATTGCCACTCCTAACCCAATTGAAAACTTACGATGCTCTACTTGATGACAAGTCACCCTATAATATACTCTTTTAATAAACCTCTTGGTTTGACTGGACAGACATTTTATGATCTGGATAAATCCGTCTTTTCCCGGGGGAAAAACAAAACAAAACAAAACCAAAAAAAAAAACCCACCATCTTTGACAGACACATAAATTGCCCGCTTGTCATTGGAAAACAACCATGAAGATATATGATCGAGATCTGTTCAATGTCTCGCTCACACGTTCCAGAAGCCTGAAGCTCAGAGCGCATTGACAGTGAAAGTCTGCCCAACACTAACCATCAGATCAGTGGTTGCTTCCTCAGAAGGCGCCAATGTAATTGGAACCGAAGAACATAGAGCGGCCAAATCTTAGGAAGGAAGAGCAAATGTTTTAAGAAACTCACACGAGTGTTTGACGCTTTTATGTTTTAAGTTGTTCTGAAGAGTTGGTGAGAATCTCTCGCATTGGCTTTAATTTTGTTTCATTTAAAACAAGAATCTGCAGAACTCCTCAAACCCTCTCAAGCTTGCGAGTCTGACAGGTTTTATTAAATCAAGCTGACAAAGTCACCGTTGTTAAGGAATTATATTTACAACTGGCATGTAATGTAATATGTCTTACAACAAAATAAGACCACTACAAAATCAGTTTCTCTGGTTTTGCCATTTAGGTTTCGATATTTTATACTACAGGCATAAGATGCAGCGCCATTTCAAGTCTTAATTAAAACGCACAAAGTTAATATGGGACTGACATAATACCAATGTTTTAAGGAGAGTTCAGAATTGAGCGACCCCGTTTTGCGACCGCAGCTTTCACGCATCTGAGCATTTTCCCAAGTAATCCGTCACCTTGCCGCTGGGTGACTTTACGCCACTCCTGGTCCAAACATTTAAGTAGCTTGATTGATGGTTTTGATCACATTCAAGTGATTGGGCTGAGTCTTCCTGTGGTCCTCCTGACCTGGTTGTGTGACTGCACGTGTTGTCTTGCTTCAGAGAACAATCCCAAGGAAGGGAACGTTGGCAAAATAGGAAGCCTGTTTTCCTCCAGGACAATTTGTTGCGTGGCTTTGTTCAAGAGAATTCTGATCGGTTCCAGCAATGCTGAAAATCCCACCAGGTCAGAGATCCTCCAACAAATTTTACAGTCCGCGTGAGACATTGCGGTTTTCTGCAATGGATGGAATGCCTGCCACATATGTCGATATGCTGATTTAGAAAACTTTGGGAGTGCTGGCTGCATTTTTTTTTCCAGCGCTGTGAATGCATTCAAACCCCAAATCCTCGAGAGACACTCATCACACACCCTCTAGAACAAAGGCATCTTTAATTCTCTTTTCATACAAAATATTTAATAAATACAACTTTCAAAAATATATTGCCAGATCAACACATTGTTCTCAGGTTCAAACAAGTCAAAAATGTTGCCATGATCTCAACAGGGTTAACAAATGAGATAAACATGTTTGTCTTGAGAGTCTCATTAAAAAGAACTGTGCTCAGAAACGATGCAAACAAAAACTTTTGTCAAGAGAGGCAGTGTATTTCATGTGGTTCCACAGTGTTCCCATCGCCAATCTACTCTTCAAGTACTCACAGTCTAGTTTATGATATCATGCTGACTCATGCGGATGGGAATCCTCGCTTGTCGTAGTCATGTGACCTGCCTCGTCACGTTGGTGGATCTCGACAGCCGTTGAAATGTGAGAGTGAAACTTGTTGGCTGCTTTCGGACATTTTTGCTTCCCTTACCGTCTGATGGCAAGCAATATGTCTGCCACCTTGTCCATCTCACGCATCAATCAGCCTTTATTTATCCACACTTGCCTTCAGTCAATGTCCTGGCAACAAATGAATGAAATATCAAATGTGTAAAAAATAACAAAAAAAGCCAGAGGCCAAAAGTGCCCACAATTTGCCTCTGAAATTCTGGCATTTGGCTTTTTAGAACGCATTGGAGGAAACAGTCATCGAAAGAAATGATGGTAAGCTTCCACAGCTAGCAAAACCTTCAAACTAGACAGAACATATAAATAAAAAGGAATGATATCTTAAGGCTCTTGATTATTAAATTAATAAATCAAATATACACAATGATTAATAAAAAAAAAATGTACATATCTACATATTCTAAATCAACACATAAATTCTTCATATTGGCAGCAATTGCTGACATTAAACACACTCCGTCCCCCTCTCCAAACCTCCCCCTGCCCCCAAAATAAAAATAAATAATAAAGTTGATCTTTTTTTTTTTTTCCTCATTCGACAGTGGCGGAGTCTAACGCTGAAAAAGGCACTTTCTCCAAAAACGAATTCAAAAAGCACACCACTAAAATGATTAGCTCTAGTGCTGAACGCAACAGGGTTGTTTTAGTCATTGTACAACAATTACAACAGGAGCCCATTCCATGTGTCCACTAAATTAAAAAAAAAAACGAAAACAAAAACGAAAGGGGCGAGGCGGGGGAGGCTGGGGGCGGGACCGAAATGTCGTGGAGTAAACTTAACATTCTACAGTGAAATGTATACCAGTGCCTTGTGTTTCCAGCCAACCAAAGCATCCGTCACTGCCAGTGTAAGCCAGCTTGTCAAAATTTAAATTAACACGGGCAACATAGGAAAATACTGCGGGGCTACGAATGACATGCCAGTTTACCAACTAGGCATGCCAAAGCTCCCCTGGTTCACCCACCACTGGGGTGCGAAGATGTTTAAGGCTTGGTTGCACAGCAACACAGCTGTCCGCTATACTATGTAGTCCATTCTGTTTATGCTGTTTGCCGTCTCCAAGTCTCTGTTGTCCTGTTTATTAGTCCAATTTGGGTGTTTGGGTGTGGAGTTGGGGCTGGAGATCTTCTCGTCCCGCTCCACTAGCGTGTATGCCGGCTGTTTGGCAAAGCGGCCCTTCTGGAGGTGCCTCTCCTTGTCGTCCTCGTCCCCCTCGGGGTGATTTGTCCTTATATTGGCAATGATAGAGTTCTTGTTTTCGTAGTCTTTGATGGCCACGGAAAGGCCCACGTGCTTCTCAATGGGGTTCTTGATCTGGTTGAGTTGCTCGCGCACGTTGTTGGTGGTGTTGTCCTCCGAGCCGGCGGCCGGCGTGCCGGCACCGCCGCCGGGGTTGCTCTGTTTCCGCCGGCGACGCATGCACCACAGCAAGAGGGAGATGAGCACGAGGACCCAGAGGACAATGAAGACTGAGCTGAGGAGGGGCACCAGGTAGTCTGGAGACACAAGAAATTTAACGGTCAGCCAGAGATCCAAAAGTGAAAAAGGATAACGGGGCTTTTAACGTATTAATGCTCCCGCCAGCGCAACCTGACCCCGGAGCCGTGAGCGGGGGAGGGGGTTCTCTTAGCTGTCAGTCTCTTGATGAATGGCGGACATGTGGGAGTCTTACGAGCCCGGCCAACGCAATGCCGCAAATCCGAGCAGCTCTGCGCTTTCCAACCATATTTTGGACTACATACTTTTCAAACTCAATTACACCTGACATGACTTAGTAGTCAAGCGGCAGGAATGTGGTGCTGCTGCAGCCCCGTTTCATTTTAAACACAAGTGCATGCACGCCTGACAAAAACCTTAGGGGCTTGCGTGCGTTTTTGGGGGTGGTTCGTACCAGTTTTGCTGGGACTTGGTACGCGCACCTCCACGATGGAGGCGATGATGGTGTTGTTCCCATTGCGTTTGCTGACCAGGTCGATTATCCGTTCGGTGATCTCTTTTATGGGACTCCCGTCCAAGTGATGGTCTTCTGTTGACTACATGTGCAGAAAAAAGATTAAAAAAAAAAAAGAACTAGAATTAGGTTTCACTTATCAAACTGATGGCACAACACGTTTCAATGTGAAAACAGCACACAGATGCTGCGTGCGGTCAATCAAATACGACGCAGCTTTAACTTTGACGACGAGTGGGAGGAGCTACTCACGATGCAGACATGGATCTCGTTGCTGGCCGAGAATGACGGGTCACAGGTTATGGACACGGAATGCTCCAAGGAGAAATTCTTGACTACGTACAAGCGCCTCAGTTGGTTACACACATTCTCCACCGTCAAGCTCTGCACACCCTGGGGAACAAAATGAGGCACATGTTAATGTCAACAGAAAGCAGAGGACTAACCAGGAAATGGAATTGGAAAAAAGGGAAGAGCTCGACAAATGTTTTTGCAAGTATGTATTACGAGCTAGCTGGTTGAGATTGGAGACCACAAATTTACAGTATGTGTGAGCCTCGATCTGCTGTCATGATTGTGAGTGACGATCCCATGTGGCCAAAGTCGCCCAAGTTCCTCTTCAATCCATGTGGTTCCTGAAACTAATCTCTGTGAGTGGGTGGGTTGAGTGGATTGGCATGAGTCCCAAAATCCAATTCAGCGCTAACAGAACATTTTTTAAGCACCCCTCACCCGACCCAAATACAAAAGAGGGATCCCAACTCACTCTCGTCAAGATGTCCTTGTTGAAGGTGAAGGTGATGTTGGCGCAGCTATTGTCCTGGTAACTGGAGCTGGGGTGACATTTGGGGGTTGGCGGCAGAGGGTTGGAGCGCCAGCACTCCCCTAGTCCGAGGCAGGGCTTGACGAAACAGTGGCCCTCCCTGATGGGGAGGCAGCTCTGGCCTGAAGGACACCCGCCTCGAACTGTGGCACCAAGATGGCAAGTCATTGGACCGCACCACATCTGTAGAAAACAGAATGACACTCGATGACGCAATTCCAGCCACGTTAGGTATAAACCAAAATATGTCACAGTCACC